AGGAACTGTTGGTTCTCAGTTTTCTTCTAAGGAGGCTGCGCTATAGTAAACTGAACCAAATTTGAAGGAACCTGTCCCAATCAATTCCAAAGGGGACTTAAGAAAAAAACGTGATTTTACCCATCTGCTTGTTCTTTTTGAGGTTGTTTGGCTTTCAGACAGTTGTTCTTATTTGCCAGTGACTGCAGACCTGGCAGCAAAGCTGTTCTTCCTAGCTACTGCCTGTGAATCTTATATTTTTCTCAGGTTACTTGAGCATCGAGCTGTTAAAATTAGTTATCAATTGAGGAAATTATCTCCTTAAAGTGACTCAATTTGACATATCACAGTATACCTTTGGCTGATATGTCTGAGTTTTTCAAGGCTTGATTGCCACTGGAACCGAATTCTGAGTTGATCTAATTTGCAGATGAAAACAGAGTTTGTTTGTGTGGTGGTGTTTTTTACTGCCTTGCCTATTGACTTGCATTAATAAGTGTGCTTCCCAAATCTTAAAGCAAATTAATATGAACGATGACTGACATTTAAACTAATACAAGAAAACTCATAAAAAAAATCATGTTAAATCAGGTATGTTGGAGCTTGGTCGGTCATGTTGGCTGCTCAGAGATTTCTTCTATCAGCAGACTTAGTTTTTCTGCTTGGTGTGCTGTAAGTTTTGTTTTTTTTGTTTTGTTTTATTGGCTGTTCATGGTTAAGACTCAATTTTGCCTTTCTTGCAACATTTTTTTACTTGTTTGTTAATTGTATTAGTGTAGCTCTCGGGCAAGGTTGTTCCTAGGAAGAAAACAAAACCCAAACATTTACAAATGAATTTCTATTCCTTTTTATTTTTTGTTGTTGTTTTTATTTTTTCCTTTAAGCACTTGCATTATTTTATTTACTTGCAGCTGGGCTCAAAGTGCAGAGAACTGAAAGACATTCATTTTGGCCAGTGTTACAAGATCTCAGATGAGGGAATGATCATTATAGCAAAAGGATGTCTGAAGTTGCAAAGAATATACATGCAGGAGAACAAATTAGTAAGTACTTGTATACAATTTGAATGGAATATAAGAGCATTTTAACAGCTCTTTGTTCTCAATGTTTTCCCCAGTTACTTGGTACTTAAAGCTTTTTTGAATATTTCCCTCCCCTCCACCCGTGCCCCCCCCCACCCCTCAGGGTGATCTGCCAAAACAACTTCTTCTCTAGCTATGAGATTTCAGGTTTTGTACAGAAAGTAACACAGATCATGGTTGACAAACTCCATAACAAAATGCTGTTCATATTTATCAGATAAGTCTTTTTGGACCATAACCTATCTAATACTAGGCCAGGTAAGTTTTTACTGTTTGCCCTCTTCTTAAATGTTGTTACTTTAGAAGCATCTTATAGAACATGTTCAGATATGATATATCCAATAAGAGCAGGATATAATCTTGAGAAGGTAGGTGTAATGCAGACTGAATGTCTTATAAACACTTTTGAGATATTTGAGATTTTTCATTTAATATGGAAATAAGCTAGATAAAAGATGGAAGCCAAAAAAATCTTGTATGTTTTCTGAGTGTTTTGGACATGGTAGAAACTAATTGGTTATATAATGTAGATTAGAAAAAGACTTGGATAAATTTCTTCCATATAACAAAATAGAAATTTTAGTCCATTAATGGTACTGAGAGTGCCTAAAGCTTGAGAGCAAAAATAAACACTACAAAATCCACATGGAAAAGGTGGTTCCTACATACTTTTGAAGGGTTATTTTTGTGCCATATGTGAAGATCTTGATTTGCACAAGTAATTACTGCACATGCATGTTATAAGCATGTCTACTCAATTGCTTAACTGTTAAGTACATGATAATGGTAAAATATATGCAGGATGAAGTTTCATGACCATCTTTCTACATGCCTTAATAATTAAATGTTTCCTTTTTTTATTTCCTCATTTCCTCTGTCTGTGGTATCTCAGTTATTTGCAGATAATAGTACAGGTTTTTCAAACATGAATACCAACTCTCTTGTTAAGAAAATAAAATATCCTACCAGTACACTTCCTGTAAATGGAAAGCTTCTTTGTTTTTAATGAGGATTTGTCATCTTCCTGGGCTATATATTCTCACCAGATAATAAATATGTTAAGAGAGCTGAGTTCTTGGGGGAAAAAATTCTGGGAAAATGGAACACTATTTTTTTTATTTTAATAACTTGGCATATTTTTAATCAAGGACTTAATTGAAGTCATTCCCTTCCCATAGAAACCTTTGCTCTTATGAATTAGCATTTTCCAATAAAACTTTGTGTTGAGAAAAAAATTGACAGCTCTAATTACCACAGATGTGAAACTTAATTTTTCACAAAGCTTACTTCTCATAGCATCTTGGGTAAAGGACATAGATGGGAAATGATACCTTTTGTAAATATAGAGAATTAGGTGATACAGAATATTAATGAAAATGCTACAGTATTCAGTGATGATTCCTATTTGTAACAATGCCACCAGATGGCTTCTGATAAAAGAATGGGCTGTGTCTTTCTGGTCAGGAAAATAGCTTGCTAGTGTTCAAGCATGTTATCACAGTTATAATTAAGTAATAATTTACAGCTCTGAAATGAGAAATACAGGAATCTGAATCAATGGATATACTGGAGTTGACTGAGGAAAAAAGTGCTAGTAGGTGGTAAATGAGTACTGACAGAGTCATAGCAGTGCTGCTCTTGTACCCACGGCAGCAGTGGCTGCTGCTGTGCCAATTGTAGTATCATGATCGGCCACCACTGTTGTAATGGCTATTTTTGCACCCCTCACAAAGGCAGTGCTCAGGGTTATTGTCCTGGTCACTCTGCTGCCCCCCTGCCAGTTAAGTTGCTAGGTACTGATTTACAATTTTCTTTATCTAAAAAAGTCAAAATATTCAGAATTTTTTACAGAATACATTTAATGTTGTTTAAAGTTTATTTCTCCTCTCTAGTGTTATGTCAACAGTGTCAGATTTTTTTCTGAATGAAGACATGCAGATATCGACTACTGCCATTTTCATATCAAATATTTCCTAGCCAAAAAAACTCAACCAAACAAAAATGTGGAATATTTACTGTATACTTGCATATTTGCTTTTGTAGTATGCAATTACTTTATAGATTTTATGCTACAGAAAAATAACCTGGAGAAAAGGGAGTTTTAATTTTTGTATGAGGATTTGAAAATTTGTATATTTCATAACCTGTTTCTTCTAATATGAAACAGCAGGGCAGGATAGTGTTTTTCTGGGGATTGCAAATAGGCTTGTTTAAGACTACATCCATATATTTAACATGTTTAATATTAAGCCTGTGGAGCTAACCAACACCTAAATGATTTCTTTAGAGAGGGTTGCTTTCTAATAAAGTGTCGACTATCAATTTATATTTCAGTTGAATTTTGTGTTGCTAAGTATTTCCATTAAGGAGACTGCTGAGCAGTAGCAGAATAATTTCTTGTTTTTTGGTTTTTTAGGTTGAACATTGCATTAAAAATATATTAGATGTGACGAAAGATATAGATAGCTTTCTTGTCCTGAGAAGCTGACTATTCAGTGGTACAAATTATGTAATGAAGTGAGAGTTACAAACCATAAATTGATAGAGGGGTTGGGAAGAAGGGCTTTATATTTGTAACACATGATTTTTTACATGTGTGCTTTATTTCCATCCCTTTAAATATCATGTTTACCTGATTTTTTTTATTCTTTAAACAAGAGAAATTGCGCAAAAACAGGATTTTTTTGTTCCCTATGTGTGATAGGTTATTCCAATTGTGAACTTAGTAAAATAACAAGCAACCTGAACTTTGCAAGCACATGTTGTATAATTCCGTTTATAATCTCACTCAAGCCAGTTTGATCTTATAATAGGATAAATTGTAGCTGGTACCCTCGTTACAATTGTTTAACAATAAATGAAAAAGGTTTTCTTTTTGAGAATTGTCCAAACCAGGGAAACATTTTAAATATAGTTTGGCTTTGCTGCTGTTGTTGGTTCGGCTGGAAACTAGCTTCTCTTAAGGCAAAATTTAAATTGATTTATATTACTTTTTCACGGCAATTCTATCTAAGAAATGGATTGGTTATTCTAACATTAACTTTAACTCTCCCTGTACAGGAGCGATCAAGTAGACAAAAGGGGCGGAGGCGTAGCTCTCTATGTCAAGGAGAGCTATGCGTCCCTGCAAGCCGACATTGGCGACCGGGGTGGACGGCTGGAGACCCTTTGGGTTAAAATCCATGAGAAACGCGGAACGGGGCGCACAGTGGTGGGACTCAACTACAGACCTCCCACCCAAAGTCAAGCGCTTGATCAGGAGTTGGCCAGGGAATTGGCTGAGGCCACATGCTCCAGGTCCATGGTTGTCATGGGAGACTTCAACTACCCAGACATCTCATGGGAAGAGTGCTCGGCTAAATCCGAGCGGTTGCAAAGCTTCCTCTCCTGCGTGGATGACCTCTGTCTGACACGAGGTCTATGGGCCAACCAGAGGTAAACTGCTACTCGACCTGGTACTGGCAACCAGGGACTACCTAATCAGCGACCTAATGATCAAAGGAAAGCTGGGTGACAGCGACCATGAGCTGATCACCTTCACCATCTGCCGTAGAGCTGGCAAGTCAGTCAGCAATACAGAAGTCCTTGACTTCAGGAAGGCTGACTTTGACAAGCTCAGGAGGCTTTTTGGTGAGGCCCTAAGGGACCGTGACCCCAAGGTTAGGGGAGCTCAGGCAGAGTGGTTGCTCCTCAAGGGAGCGATCCTCAATGCACAAGCTAATGCAATTCCATCTCAGAGGAAAGGCAGCAAAAGGGCACAGCAGCCCCCTTGGCTCTCTAGGGAACTAGCGAACCTCCTGTGGCTAAAAAGAAAGGCCTTAAAAGGATGGAAGATGGGATCCACCTCCAAGGAGGAATATTCCACACTGGTCCAGTCCTGCAGGGAGTGAACCAGGAAAGCCAAGGTTGTGACGGAATTCCAACTAGCTACAAGTATCAAGGACAATAAAAAGTCCTTTTTTAGATATGTGGGGAGCCAGAGGAAAAGCAAGGGCAACATTGGACCCCTGCTAAACCAGATGGGGCAACTGACAACCGACACCCAGGAAAAAGCCAACCTATTAAATGGGTACTTTGCATCGGTTTTTCATCAGTCCCATGGGACGCCCCTGCCCACTATGGGACAGGGGAGCCTGGGTGAGGGAGATTCCCTGCCCTCCATTGAAGGAACACCTTGAGAGGCTGGATACCTTCAAGTCAGCTGGCCCTGACAGTTTATACCCCAGGGTACTCAAGGAGCTGGCGAGCATCATAGCCCAGCACCTGGCATGGATCTTTGAGAACTCGTGGCGCTCTGGTGTAGTGCCCGAAGACTGGAAGAAGGCCAATGTGGTGCCTATCTTCAAGAAAGGGAGGAAAGTGGATCCGGCAAACTATAGGCCCATCAGCCTGACCTTTATCCTGGGGAAGGTCTTAGAAAAGATTATTAAAGAGGCCATTCTCAACAGATTGGCCAACGGCAACATCCTGGGGGATAGGCAGCACAGGTTTGTTGCGGGTACGTCTTGCTTGACCAATCTTATCTCCTACAACTGAGACCTCGGCCTCACCACGATCTGCTGGCTGGGGAATTGGCTCAGCGGTAGGACCCAGAGGATGGTGGTTGATGGAATTCAATCATCATGGTTTGCTGTGACCAGCGGGGTCCCTCAAGGCTCTGCCCTTGGGCCTATACTATTTAACATCTTCATCAATGATGTAGATATCTGTGTCAGTAGCGGACTGGCCAAGTTCGCCGATGACACCAAACTCTGGGGTAAAGCATTCACACCTGAGGACAGAAGGAGATCCAGCCAGACCTTAACAGGCTCAGGAATTGGGCGGATGAGAACCTGATGGTGTTTAACACTGAAAAATGTAAGGTTCTCCACCTTGGGAGGAAAAACCTGCAGCATACTTATAAGCTCGGCAGTGCTATGCTGGTTAGCACTACGGATGAAAGGGACTTGGGGGTCATGATT